TAGTATACAACTAAGAAGCAACAATACGTGACTTGAAATTATGTTTAGTAGCCTGTTTCTGCATTTCCTAGTATTTAGATATCTAGGTTATCCACTAATTAATTAAGCTGAGCATTAGCCTAAGGTTCCAAATCTCTGAAAGATCTTGGAAATTATCTTCCAGCTATAAAAATATGTACTGTTGAAAGAAAACATTTATCAGTATCATGATTGAATTTCATTGAACACATATTTCCCTATCAAACCATCGTAAACATTATATAGCATTAAGTAATAACTGAAATTTGATATGCACACTTGTATAATTTAGGAATGATAAGCCAACTAAAATGAAATGCATGCTTGTGCCGTATGATAAATAAGGGAAGTGACATGGTTATTTTTTGAATCAAATTTACCAAACTAGCCTCATTTGTCAAAGGTTAATCTTCATTATGTGAATCCGTATTCTAAAATATTTCTGATTTGATATTAGAAATGTAATTTCCTTACTTTCTAGGAACTGTACACGTCTTCAGCGTATATGAGCATTATTTATTTATTTATTTTTTATTAGGCAGAGTTAGAGAGAGAGAGACAGAGAGAAAGGTCTTCTTTCCGTTGGTTCACCCCCCAAATTGCTGCTATGGCCAGCACGCTGCGTTGATTCAAAGCCAGGAGCCAGGTGCTTCCTCCTGGTCTCCCATGTGGGTGCAGGGGCCCAAGCACTTGGGCTATCCTCCACTGCCTTCCCAGGTCACAGCAGAGAGCTGGACTGGAAGAGGAGCAACTGAGACTAGAACCCGGTGCCCATATGGGATGCCGGCGCTGCAGGTGGAGGATTAACAAAGTGAGCCACGGCGCCAGCCCTGCATCATTTATTTTTTAAGAAAATGTTTTACAGGGGGAGGGAGATAGAGAGATATCAATCTTCCACTGCCTGGTTCACTCCTTGAATGGCCACAATGACCAGATAGGGCTAGGCCAGGCCAAAGCCAGGAGCTAGGAGCTTTATCCAGTCTCTGACATGGATGCCGGTGCCACAGGGACTTGGGCCATCCTCTGCTGCTTTCCCAGACACATCAGCAGGGAGCCAGATTGGAAGTGGAGCAGCCAGGACTCAAACTAGTGCCCATATGGGATGATGGCATTGCAGGCAGCGGCTTAACCAGTCTCACCACAACACCGGCCCCCAACATCGCTTACCTTTAAAGTTAGTCTTAATAGAGTTCCCGTAGATGAGGAACATAGTGGAACATATTAACACCCTCCAGGGACAGACAGGCAGCTCACCCATCAGGCAATAAGACATATTTAGTGGGCTCATAGTTTTGCTCCTACAACTTCAGCTGTAGGTCAATAACAACTTATAGGGGCCTGTGCTGTGGCGTAGCAGGTAAAGCTGGGGAGTGAACCAGCAGATGGAAGACCTCTCTCTGCCTCTCCTTCTCTCTGTAACTCTGCCTTTCAAATAATTTAATAAATCTTAAAAATAAAGAAATACATACATAAATAAAATAAAAAGAAGGGCAAGGGGAGGTGTTTGGCCTGCACATACATAGAGCACTGGGTTCGATACTCCTGACTCTGGCTGCCTGCTAGTGCAGACACTGGGAGGCCACAGCGGTGTCTCAAGTCATTGCATTCCTACTATCATGCAGGAGAACTCGGTAGAATTCCTGGCTCCTGGCTTTGGCCCCAGCCATGGGGTCATTGCGGGCATTTGGGGAGTGAATCAGCATATGGGAACTCTCTCTCTCTCTCTCTCTGTGTCTCTGTCAAGTAAATAAATTTTAAAAATTGTTTTATAGTAGTTTAAGACCTCTAGGAAGAAGGAGCTGCCCTACATTTCCCTGAGTAGACTAAAAGCCCTGGATAGCACCCCCACGCCCACACCCACACCCACACCCACACCCACACCCACACCCACACCCTGTATAATATATAGTGTACACAGTCACAGGCCACATGAGGACGTCCGGTCAGGGAGCACATATGCACCAGTGGCTATATGACATGGCGTGGGTGAACAGGAGGCGTGACGGTGTAGGGTCGTGTAAGGGCACTCTGCGATGCTCACACCACAACAGGACCCCCAGTGATTCACCTTTCAGAACCTATGAGCGTGATTTTAGAAACAAACGGGAGACACTGTGAGGAAGTTTTCAGAGGGAAGACTGGAAAGAAGCGAGCAGAGTGACTGGCAGTTTCAGGATCTGAAAACAAACACCGTGGTGCTTTCTCTGGGTTTTCTTTTGTCTCACATGTCTCTGAGACTGGGTGCTGGAGAAGCTGGCGGTGTGGCATTGCTGATAGGTGCAGGAAAAAGAAAAAAAAAAGCTCCCACCAGAGCCTGCTCTCTGGAAATAGGCAACCTACCCAAACAGAAAGGTTTTAGAAGGAGTTGCTGTGCTGCTAGCAAACAGGCAGAAGAAACTGTGGACCCAGCATGCCTCAGTGTCCAGCTCCAGCAGATGTCAAGTGGGAGCGGAGGCCTCCCTCCCTGCCAGGCTGCAGGAGGCGTCCTGGCCACCCTGCTGGGGCTGCGTCACAGAAGGGCAGGTTGGGTCACAGAAGGGCAGGTTGGGTCACAGAAGGGCAGGTGGGGAGCAGAGGCTGCTGAGGAGCAATCTAACAAGGCCCCAAAAAGCTAACTGAGTTTAGCTTGCAGAGCTGTTAATGAATCTCCTTTCTTTTTTTTTTTTTTAAGATTTATTTATTTATTTGAAAGAGTTACACAGAAAAGGAGAGGCAGAGAGAGAGAGGTCTTCCATCTGCTGGTTCACTCCCCAGTTGCTGCAATGGCTGAAGCTTTGCCAATCTGAAGCCAGGAGGCAGGAGCTTCTTCTGGGTCTCCCACGTAGGTGCAGGGGCCCAAGGATGTGGGCCATCTTCTACTTCTTTCCCAGGCCAAAGCAGACCTGGATCAGCAGTGGAGCAGCCGGGACTCGAACTGGCGCCCATATGGGATGCTGACACTGCAGGCGGCAGCTTTACCCACTATGCCACAGCACCGGCCCCTCATTTCATTTTTAATGTTTTATGTTGAGATCATTGTGGCCTTGCATGCAGTTGGAATAGTAATACAAGGACATCATTTGTACCCTTTAGCCAATTTCCACCAAACTGTAGCGTTTGAAACACTGTATGACAATGTCACAACCAAGACATTGACATATAGACAGCACAAGGCTCATAGCCATCCTCACATGGGCCCCATATGCTTTCTTCCCACCTTACTCTTGTCCTGACCTCTGGAAACCCCTGTCTGTCCCCTGTTGGGAATAGGAGAGGTACAGGTATGTATGTATTCAAAGTACTATTCCAACATGGGATGCCACCATCCTGCTGAGCCACAACCCTGGCCCTAGACCTGAAACTGAAACTACTAGAACAAAACATAGGGAAAACACTTCAGGACGTTAGAATGGGTAAGGATTTCTTTAAAAAATCAGATCCCAAAAGCACAGGAAACAGAAGCAAGAATATTTTATTTTTAAATATTTATTTATTTATTTGAAAAAGTTACAGAGAGGAGACACACACACAGACACACGCAGAACTTCCACTCCCTGGTTCACTCTCCAGATGGTTGCAACGGCCAGGGCTGGGCCAGACTAAAGCTAGGAGCTTCTTACAGGTCTCCCATGTAGGTAGCAGGAGCCCAAGCACTTGGGCCATCTGTTGCTGCTTTCCCAGGCCATTAGTAGGGAGCTGGATCAAAAGTAGAGCAACCGAGATGTGAACTGGTGCCCATATGAGATGCTGGCATTGCAGATGGCAGCCCTACCTACTATGACACAATGCTGGCCCCCAAAATTTTGAAGTTACAATCTTTTGAAAACTCAAAAAGAAAAAAAAATTTATAGGGACTGCAAACAAATGTATCAATAGAAAATATCACATTTACTCCTAATATAAATATAATATATCCTCCTAATATAAATATAAAAATAAAAATATATATAATATAATATAAAGCAAAATTTTCTCCCCAAGTTATCCTTTATACTGACTTTATGCTAACATCAGGTGTTGGTAGAAGTCAAGAAGGAGAGAAGCA